TCTTAACAGAAGCACTGGCTGATTTCAGCTTTTTTCTTCATCTTATTTATTCATTTATTTATTTTACAGCTTCCGAGCAGATATTTCTATTTACGTAAAATTCTAAAGTTATATAAGTCTAGTATTTTAGAATGTTTCTTATACATTTATTTGCCCCTATATTTTTTTTTAATTTTTTAAATTCTCTTACTTTTTCTTCCTGTATGTTGTGCTATGTATGTTAATGCAAGTTTGAAAGTGCTGCAGCTATAAATCTGATCGACAGAGGAATAAATCACATGTGCACACACACTTTCCCACTGTAGTGAAGCAGAAGCGTTTCAGTCTGTGAGTGAAATCTGTAACTGAACAGAAGTAAAGCAGGTGGAATGTGCGAGCTGCTCAGCCTGTTGATTTAAACACTTTGCACAGTAGATCTACATTATTTACACAATATCAAATATAGGGAGGAAAGATTCATTGTCTTCTACAGTAAAACTGCAATTTATAGAGTCACATTTTTAAATTGTAATAGCTGCTATGTTAATTAAAGGCAATGACTCACACCAATCAAAAGCAAGCTATGTGCTGACAACACAACTAGTAATCTAGCACACTGCATTCTGCTTTCAAGCCTCAAGCCAGAAAAAGTAGATACGCTGGTCTTCTTGGCCAAAAAAACAGGCCTAAACCTTAATTTATGGAAAATTATTACAGTCACAATATTAAAGAAATTGCAATTAGATATTTTCTCAAAATAGTTCAGCCCTAATTAAACAGAGATGGACCCATGTGTAAAGCTGTATAATGTTAGGACCCCACAACAACTCTTAATTCATCCATCCTGAACAGTTCTTCCCTCTGTGTGTTGTAGTTTCTCTGGGCCTGATGCGGACAAATGAGGTCATTAACTTCTGCCATATCTCTGACATCATCACTCTGGGACCAAAGACCATTTATTACCTGCAGACTTTGCAGAACAGAAGGTTTGGTTTTAATTACAAGTCCATCTGTTTATGAATGTAATTAGGAATGAAAATTTCCTATCATGACATCACTGACCAAAACGTTTTTCAGTTTTACCAGTTTTAAAAACTGAACAAGTTTATAAAGCATGAATGTACACAGAAATTATTTCACCACGGGCATCATCTTCTTACGATACCAAAATATCAACTACAATTGAAATAAATATGAAATTATCTTTATCAGCACTAATATTGGTTACTTTTTTACTTATGTTATGTAAGCATGTGTTGTTTCTGTGCTTTGCCTGAAGATTGTAGCAGTAAGCTATTTGGTTCCATCAGCGCTTTCTAAAAAGATGCTAATCCGGGATATCTAATTCATTAAAAATTGTATGATTATTTTTTGATTTCCTGGAATATCAGTAAAACTGACAACCATACCATCTCTGTACATTTGTGCAATGTGTGTGTGCCATGTGTGTTACAAACCCACAGAGCAGCTTAACTACAAAACAACAGCTTCATATCACAACAAACAAACATAAATAAATCCGCAAACAGTGCTGTACAAGCATGAGTAAATGCACATACCAGAGATGACACACACAGACTGTGATTGTCAGGACAAAACCTCGTATCTGCTGATGAATGCACCAATAGGACTCATCCACGAGTACTTGGAATATTTTTACATCAACTTGCATTAAAAATAAGGAGCATTTTTCCCTTCTCTTATAAAGTTTTGGTAGTACAAGGTTTTGTTCTGACAATTGTTGCAATAATAAAAAATCAGCAATTTAAGCCACTGTAATTCTGAACGATGCTGGCTCTAATTTGCAAAAATCCAAAAACCTAAAAATCTACAATTCAGAAAGGAGAAGTGAGGAAATAATAGACACAACTGAGAAAAAATTGCAAAGGTGAAGAAGAATAATGTTAAACAGAATAAGAATAATAAGAAGACAACACAGATGAAGTCAAAGCTGACGAAGTGAACAAAGAAAAGAAGAACAAAAACAAAACCAACAATGATAAAAATAAATGTTTTTTGTTTATTCTCATGTGTTTTTGTTTATTCTTATGTGCATATAAGTAAAATTGCTTGTTAAATACCAAAGTTTTCATAAAAACTTGCCATTAACACCAAAGTTTACATAAAACCTTTCTCTCTCTTTCTGTAACATTACTTACATGACATCTCATTTAATATTGGCAGCACTAAGAGATTAAGATCCATTTTGAAAGAAATTTATATTTACTTTACATTTCAGTTGGTTAGCTCAGGCTACCTGCAGGGGTGTGTGGGTGTGTGTGTGTAAGTAAGTAAGTAAGTAAGTAAGTAAGTAAGTAAAGCTGCATGAAATTGCTGGAATCCTGTCTGAATGGGGAAAATCTGGATGGATTGTTATAGTGAGTGTTTGTATTGTGATAAATATGAGTGAGTGGAGGGGGTTCAAAATGCATTTATACAACACACACGCACACAAACACACGCACACCGTCAGGTACTTCATAATGGTTTAGCTTCCACGGTTTGCATTTCTAAAAACTGTTATGTTGTTATGTTGTGATATGCAAATGATTAAATGTACAACAATGTAAACAAATGGTAACCTTACTACAGAAGAAGGACCAAATTTGAAAGCAATGAGATTTTATTCAGAGTAACTCTGGACTATTTCTATTGGTGCATTTATTATGACACGTTCACATAACGTAAAGAGTAGCTGCCATCTAAATTGAAGTAATAATAATAATAATAATAATAATAATCATCATAAAACTGAAGACAAATGTAGTTACAAGATGCATCATATAACTGCAACAAAATTTAAACACACACACAAACTCTATCAAAATTTCACACCAAATTATAGAATAACAGTAAACTATACGTATAGATTTAATACTATATATAATATATAGTATTCATTAATTTTGTATGCAAAATAAACAAAGTTTGTTTAAAAATATTACAAAATGAATTAACCAAAAGCATTACTGTGTATATAATTTGGATAGATTACACACACACACACACACACACACACACACACACACACACACACACACACACACAAAACGCATATATGCTTAAAAATAAGAGTATGAAGATAAAAAGTTCTTAGGAGTGATGCCATAGAAGAAACACTTTTGGTTCCCAAAAGTATCTTTAAGACCATTTTTGAGATGTGTGAGTGTGAAGAACCTTCTTATAGCTTAAAGAACATCCTCAAAGGTTCTATCCAACGAAATGTTTTCTGTAGAACCACACATTTAATCTAAGAACCATTCAGGAGTCTTTATTTTGAACAGTTTAAACTTTCTGAAACTGCAGGGTCAAAACTGCTCCTTGTATTCCCTCTGTTTAAAATTCTCTCAATGTCTTTTGTTCGTATCATACTGGTTGAAGCAAAGGCTAAGCCTCATTAGCAAAAGCGCACAAAATCCCTGTCACTCATTTACATTACAAATAAGGAAAAAACGTCTACAGCTTCAAAACCACTGCAGCTGGGGATGAAGCCAGATAGAATATAAAAAATAAAATTCTATCAATCCTAGCATCAATAATATCAGTTTAGTACACCCGTGAAAAAATTGTTCTTCAAGGGTTCTTTGATAAAAGCAATGGTAATCATGACAACTCAAACGATCATTTGAATACATAAAACTTTCTCTGCATGGTTAAATGGATCTTCTCCCTGAGGGAAAACGTGTTGTACATGTTTTAACTGCTTTAAAAATGGATTTATATAGCACCAGAAAAGGTTCCGCTATTAGTGCAACCATAGAACCTGTGTTTGGTACTATATGGAAACCTTTTAGCTAAGAATATAATTTACGGTTATTCTTGTTAGTTCTGTATTATTCATATAATTTATATGATACATTACATTAATTACATATATCTTGTTGCTATCAGAACAAAATGTCTTATCTCCATTTTTTTTTAATGGACTGACATATACCCACACAGCTAAAAATTATCAGTCCAATCTCCTTAAACTCACATGCAGATACTCTCACATTCATACATACACATTTAACTCTAAAAGTTTTCTGTTTGCTGAAGAACTTTTCTTTGAGTGAGTTTCTCCTGCTAGGCTGATTCAGTGGTGCCCAGAGTACTGATTATCAGCAATGATCACATCTAAAGGTGCCAAGTGACATCTGATAATGACCTCCATCAATTTATCTTAGGGGTATTCAACATTGGCCCTCCGGCACAAGACTTGAACACCCCTGGCTTAACCCCTCTATTGCTCTATAGCACACAGAGGGTTTTCTGTGTAATGCCAGAATACAAACACTTCTTTCCCTAAAAAAATATCTTTGGAAAAAAGATTTACAAATGTGAAGAACCTTTAAAAGGTGCAAAAAAAAAACTATATGATGTATACCAATTATCTAGTTCTCCCTAGAGCCTTTACATTATTTGGAAATTCTTTAAACTTTCTTCACATCTCATATACCAAAATGATTCTGTGAAGAAGAAAAAAGTGGTTCTTTTTGGCACCTTTATTCTTCAGGGTGCAGCGCACAAGGAGCTTAATTAGTAAATCAGGTAGTGAGCCGTGGTGTGCTAAATGTGGGAAAAATGTAATATGTGTGGGATACCCAGAGACTGAGAACCCCTACTCTAGCACAAGGGCCTCCAATCTTATCAACAAAGGGCCGTTTTTGGCTGCAGGTTTTCACTACAAACAAGCATAAGCACATCTTATTCTAGATTAATTAGTTGGTTTCAGTCTTCAAACAACTAATTAGTTCCATGAGGTGTGCTCCTGCTTGGTTGAAATGAAAGCCTTCTATAGTTACGAGTGGTGATCCATGCTCTGGGATATAACGTTAAACCCACTTGCCATAAAAACAACAACAAAAAAGCTGAACTCTTGCTGCTGGAAATAAAAACACTCATGTAATCCATCTGTGGTAATTTCGAAAGAATATCGAGATCGTCTTTTCTGAATGTGCATATCAGTAAATGTGCGCGAGCTGCGGCGGTCCAAAGTGTGTGTACATGGTGTAAATGTGGCATAAGGCCGGTTTTACCTGCAGCTCTCCGCGGCTCCTGCTGTTTTCTCCTCGGCATGCTGCCCCTGCTCAGCGGCAGAGAAACTGCTCCTCTATGCGGCACACGGAGCTCCTGAAGCGGCCAGCAGCGGCTCGGTCTGTCCGGCGCTGTCCAAAACTTTACCGGTCATCCAAAGCGACTTTTTAGCACTTAGGTTTAAATCTCAAACAAAATGAGACCGGCTCGGAGACAAATAAGCGTGAAAACAAAGTAAAAAAAAGCGAGGTTGCTGAAGGTTCATCTTTACGGGAAAAAATAGAAAGTGTTTTCCAGTTTCCACTCCCCCTCTTCAGCCACGTTATGAAAAGACTCAAAACAAACAAGTAGCAAAAACAGAAAGGAGAGAAAGCTTTCCCCAACCTGGAAAAAATAACTTTAGAGTTGTTCAGTTGCTTGATTCCGGTGGAGGAAAAATGTCTAAAAGCGGAGGGAGAATGTTTGACATTTGCCGGTTAAATCGTAAACGGATTTGTTCGCGAGTTGGTCAGCAGAGCTGCGGCTAGGCTCTCTGCCCGGTCTCTTGCGAGAAAACTCGGGTGCGCTACGGGGGTGTAAGGACTTCGGCTAAAGCTGGCTAGCTCAGCTACATTTCTAGACTTTTCTTAAGTCTCGCAGGGTTGAGGAGGGGGCGTGTTTTAGTGTTTTAAAAAATAAAAAGCGCTCGGACACATCCAGGTTGTGAGATGGACGCGGACTCATCGTTTGCTCTAAACTCCTGATCGGCTCTCAGCACTGCACTGTTATGATTCTTTTTCCCACCCATATTCGGCACACATTTGCACCTATATCCCGACAGATACCGCCCCTTCTGCGCTAGGATTGGCTAATAGCTCATCCTGACGGACGGGACGCCGATGAACTACTAAGCAATTCAGAGCGCAGGTGGCCGTATAGTACAAGCCAATCAGAACCGTAGAAGGGTGGGGCTTTCCTTTCAGACCTTCTCAGTAGATAAACGAAGACATCGAGCGATCGAGATTTGGAGCAATAAAGTTTGGTGGAAACTCTGTTCAAATAAAACCAAACCGAACACAATTTATAGGCAGTATGTCCAGCCAAAACCGGGTTTAAACTGATTTAAAGAAATCTATGAAAACTAATTGCAGTATTGAGCAACTAACTGCCGCTGGCACTGTCTGAAAGTTTTGGTGAATGCTGCTGGTGGTCTGTGTTTGAATAGCAAGCTAACCTAAGGGTTATCCTACATTACTGGATGACCCTGAACTTTATCCCATTTCTGGATGAGGTTGCTTAACGCAGGGATGTCCCGGCTTCTTCTGCGGCTCTTGGCCAGTCAACTTACTCGCAGTGAGGCAAAGCTGCAGTGGTTTCGTTCAGTACCAAACCGTTCCATCATCGACCTCTCCTACTCAACACATTTCATGGACTTCAAACGCTCATCCATACCGAGCTCCATGAAGAAGCTGGTAGCAACGAAACTGAGCCAGAATTTTAGGGAGGCAGTTTCTCTTCAAACAGCTCCAGTACCGACACCGGGCGATGGAGATTTGCTTATTCGAAACCGGTGAGCCTGCGGTGTCTTGGCTAAGCTAGCAGAGTCGGTGTAGCATAACATAGCATGGCTAAATGGGTTGCAGGATGGGGTTAGTGGATTTAAAATTCACAAATGTCGTGGCAAGAGTTGGGGGGGGGCGGGGGTGGACATATCCTGACCATTAAGCACGTTATTGCAGTCTATTCTCTAATAGTCCAGGATTAGGTTAGACAATGAGGCCTATAAAGATGTACGTCCATGCGGCCTGAAAAACAAAACTTGTGTGGTACTGCACACGTTAGGGCTGTTTTCTGGTTTCAGTTTAGTAATCGTTATAAGAAAAATAAACACACTTTTCATAGTCTTTGAAGACTAAATGAGATGTAAACAAAATTATTCAGTGGTTCGATGTCAAATGGTGCATTGTAGGGAAAGGTACAGACTCAGATTTCTTCTAAGAGGTGGTGATGAGGGTTGTGATGTGGACAACACAAATGTAGCCATTTTATTTACTATCCAAAACTACCAGTGAACCCACGTGAGTAGGTTTTTATAAGTTTGTTTTATTTGTAATGTTGATATAGTAAAATAGTGGTAAATTGAGAAAAAAAGTTTTATTTGGGTACTAGTTTGTCTTACAGCGCCCTGTATGTACCACTTCACCATGAATAAATAAAATTGTTTTTATCCACAATCTTATCTCAAAACTATTGTAAAACAACTAACTTTTTAATGTAATATCTTTTTGTGAGGTGGCTTTTAGGGGCATTAAACACAACTTTCCGGTTTCCTATCACCATGGTTGTGAATTATTCTTATGCCTTTAAGTTTCTCTAGAACAATGCATTTCACACCAAGCTACTCTGAATGACATTGTTTACATCTTAATGTAAAGATCTTAATGTTAATGTCTGTGTGGAGAATACTCGTGTAAAAATTAGTTCTTAACATCATAAGAAAATTGTGCTCAGAGAATTGATTATTTTAAAATACTTTTTATATAATAAAAGACTAAAGCACTGCAGCTTAACTCACTGGTCACTTTAAGTACGCCTACCTTTTATCACTCATTGTCCATTTTCTCAGATCCATACACAACAAAATTCTGAAAAAGTTGGGACAGTATGTGAAATGCAAATTAAAGCAAAAGCAGTGACTTGTAAATCCACTTTGACTTGTATTAAAATGAAACATCACAAGGGAAAGACATTTATTATTTTATCTCATCAACTTAAGTTTTTTTTGTAAATATACATTATTTCTGAAATTAATGTCATAAATACAAGCTAAAAATATACTAGAAACAGCAAAGCTGCTGACTTCCTCAAGCTCATCTGAAATGGAGTGGTGCACACTGGAAGTGTGTATCATGGTCTAATGTGTGTGCCCATGATATCCATGCTTATTTCAACATAAAAATGCACAGCCACATTCTGCACTGTTACAACAGCATGGTGACTGAATCAGTGGATGTAGGTGCTAGACTGGCCTGCCTGCAGTCCAGACCTGTCTCCAGTTGTAACACGTTACGTTATGGAGTGCAAAATATAACAATGAATACCCTATATGGTTGCACAGCTTAAGACTTGTACAACAGTAGAATAGCAAAAAAAATTAAACTTTCAAAACTGGTAAAAGTTGGTGTCTTCAGTCCCCAAATGATTATTATGTGTTAAAACGAAAGGTGACTTAACACACGTGAATCAGGATAAAAGCATGAATGTGCATGCCATAAATGTAAATGCAAAACTACACAGAAATTCAAAGGTATGTCATTACTTCATCCTCATGTAACTCATATTTTTTTCTTTGCTTTTAGGTACGTTGGCATAAATGCATCTGATATAAATTATTCAGCCGGAAGATATGACCGCTCCATGACTCCTCCCTTTGATGTTGGATTTGAGGGTGTGGGGGAGGTGGTAGGTTTGGGTCTGAGTGCCAGTTCCAGATTCACTGTAGGCGACACTGTGGCATATATGAGAGCTGGAGCTTTCGCAGAGTATACAGTCATTTCTGCAAAAACTGCTATTCCAGTTCCATCTGCCCAGCCTGAGCTGTTAGCGTTGTTGGTTAGTGGAGCGACAGCCCATATCGCTCTCCACCAATTAGGGGAGCTTAAACAGGGAGAAACGGTGCTGGTCACCGCCGCAGCTGGAGGAACTGGGCAGTTCGCCATTCAGTTTGCTAAAATGGCCAGCTGCCATGTGGTGGGTACATGTTCTTCAGATGAAAAAGTGGAATTCCTGAAGACTATTGGCTGTGACAGACCAATCAACTACAAGGCGGAAGATTTAGCTGCTACGCTACGCAGGGAGTACCCTTTGGGTGTGGATGTAGTGTACGAGTCAGTAGGGGGCAGTGTTTTTGACCTTGCAGTGAACAATCTGGCCACTAGGGGCAGACTACTGGTTATCGGCTTTATCTCTGGCTATCAGAGCGCGTCCGGCCTGCAGCCAGTGAGGGGCAGCACTATCCCCGCCAAACTGCTGCAAAAATCTGCCAGCATACGCAGCTTCTTCCTGCATCACTTTCTGCCGGACTACAGTGAGTCACTGAGGAGCATGCTGGAGCTGCTGACTGCAGGCAGGCTGGTGTGTAAGGTGGATGCTGGTGAGCGAGATGTGGGCGGACGCTTCGTGGGACTGGAGTCTGTCTACAGAGCTGTGGAGTACATGTACGCAGGAAATAACCTGGGCAAAGTGGTGGTGGAGCTGGAGCCACAAAATGACAGCAAACTGTAATCAAACTATAATCAAACCAATCAAAAGATCCTGAAAATGCCTTAATAGCTAAAATCAGTAAATCTAGTCCTATTTTCAATGACTATCTTTTCCATGTGTCATATCTGAATGCTGCAGAGTTATTGTTACTATTAACATAAATATGTATTTTTTTTTTCTTAAAAAAACCTTAGTTCTGAATATACAGTTATTTAGCAAAAATCACCTGTATACTGACAGTACTGTTCTCTGTTTACATCCTGTAATCCACATTTCATTTTTTGTGTTGACAATTAGAAAATAAGGCAGCATTTAAATCTAATGACCTGAAGGCAACATCAATAAATCAAGTTCTGTTTTTTGATTAGCGGGTGAGTAAAACATAAGATGTGGCCTGTGCATAAATTAAGGTACATTTTATATTATATGTTTTATTTAACTATTTACTTACAACCCTATTTCCAAAAAAGTTGGGATGCAGGGCGAAATGTAAATAAAAATGAAATGCAATAATATGCAAATCATGTAAAACCTATATTTAATTGAAAATAGTACAAAGGCAACAAATGAAATGTTGAAACTGAGAAATTTTATTTTAATTTTATTTTAAATTTTAGCACCCAGACTCTTTTACTACGGAGTGAGGGAGGGTCGGCGCGCGAGTCCCGAGCCCCGCCTCCTGGGCGCCGCCTCCGGTGCCGCAGTGAGGCCGCTTTAATTAGCCTCACGTTCGATCTGTGCGGACCAGCTGCGAGAGGGGGGCGCGGTAACGAGGAGGCGGAGCAACGAGCTCTCGTTCCCTCTGGGCTCGGGTGCGCGAGCGCCTTTTAAAAATAGCAAAGAGGGAACAGAGAGAGCGAGAGAAGAGCTGAAAGTGGCCAGTGTTTCTTTGGTTTTGTTTGGTTGTGTTTATTTGGTGTGTAAATAAAGTGAATGGCTGCTGCAAACGTGAACGCTGTCTCCAGCGTCCTCCCTTAGCCCGGGGTTGCACATTCCGTGCTACAGTCATCTTTAGTCGTAGTTTGTTCCCTGTAGAGAATGTGTTATTACTTATTTGGGGTTGTTCAATCTTTTGCATACAACTGTAAATGCTTTGTTTTTTCAATGCATCACAAAAACAGTGCATTCAAAACGGACTGTATTTTCATTTTTAACTCAGTTATGGACGTAGCTTTTATATTAGCAACATCTTACAGAGGTTAAAGTTCCTATTTACTTTACTGCAGGGACTTCAGGGAATACTTATGTGGCTCGTGCAGTGAGCAAGCAAACTAACAAATAAATAATCTTGCACATACATTGTACATGTACATTAGGTGCCCACATAAGCAAAATTAACCTACTTAGAAAGTAAACATGGATTTAGGTTTCCTGGGGCTTCAAAATGAGCTGGACGTGAAAGAAACACCAGATGTCAATTACAGTTTAAATATTTTTAAAGCCTAAACATTTTCAGCCCTTTCAGTGTGTGCTTCTTTAGAGAACTATATGTATAATCTATAATGTAAAGTTTCCATAATGTAATTAGTACAGAATTTACATTATGTAAGGGTTCTTTAACCCCTTTCCACAATAGCCACGAAATGTAATTTGCATAACACTGATGGAATATATTTTGATGGAAATTTACAAGATCAGAAGCAAACTGTATTTTTGTCTTCATAGTTGAGCAAGCAGGCCAACATTTATAAAAGTGCTTTTATTGTGTTTAAATGTAATGTTTTATTACAGCAGATCTTTTGATATGACGAAAGCTGCAGTTGTGCTGATGGTTTTATCTCAGCATGCCTGTCTTTAAGAGATGTGAATTGATTTCACAGCAGGGGCCCCATCCCTCCCCTCTTATCCCTCATTGCTCACTAGCAGTTCAACACAGTCACGTTTCACACACAGAGAGCCTACAGTGTCCTAGTTAATCTGATAAAAGAGTTACAGGGGAACATATTTTAGTGTAATTATATAAAACATTGGCTTGTGCCCCAGGCCTTATTTAGCATGGTATATGCGGTTTTAGGTGCAGCGACAAAACGCATCCACCCCACAACTGAAAACCCCTACCCACATGCAGTCCAAAACCTGACACCTGGCAATCCTAGTTGTACTACATCAAAATTTACTCCCACTTTTACGATTTGTAATGAGCAGGAAGATTTCCCTGAATTCCAAGTGGAAAATCTCAACAAATGGGTACACTTTTTTGGTTGTCTGTCCTAGGGTGTGTGATGATTTCTGCATGCAGACTGCACAATGTTAAATGGTTGGGTATATGTTTGCATCTTTTTTAAAAGCCTTGATTTTAGTCTGGTCTGGTGGCTAATTGGTCAGCAATGGACACAACCACAAACACAATGAAAAGTGAGGGAAAGTCAAAGCTCATTAAACTGCTGAGAGAAAGAAAAACAGCAGCAGAAAAGCTGTGAAGCTCTAATTGGCTATAACAACTCACACACTGAACACACTGCACTTTACTACACATGCACACACACACTTATTATAACACACGGACCATTCAGAATGAGGAACGTGCTGGGTTAACGATTCTTTTTAAGCATCACTAGTTCTTCAGCTGTGTAATGCAACCCATTAGCCGCCAGTGTGTTCTAAAAACGTACATACTGAAATCCACTTCACAGTTTGTGTGTGTGTGTGTGCTATGGCCAATACTGAAGATGCATGGGGGGCATTTTTAAAAACTATAAAAGCTAATAGTACTATGAATTGCTTGTCACAGGATATTAAAATTGCCAAAACAATCACTGCTGGTTGTAACTGAATATACATCAAATTGAACCCAACTTTATAGTTTTGGGAGCTTCTGTTGTTTCTGTTTTGTGCCAATATACACATTCAGCAGAGTGGTGTAGTGGTGTCTTGGAAAGGTGGGTATCATTGTTGGGGTAGTTACTCAAAAAAGTAATGAACTACAAATTACTAATTACTTCTGGAAGATGCAGTCTCACTATTCCATAGAATTCTGTACCAACTTGATAGTGCAACAAAAAAGCAATATTTATTTAGAAGGAAATGTGTTCTCTGCAGAGGGTGTGTTATTTTTACTTGGAAAATTAACAAAACATCGTTTGACCAGTGGTGATGCATGCATGACTGCTATTTGAAAATCTAGAAACTAGCCAGACAGTAGAAACATTTAAAAAAAATGTTTTAAATATATCATGCGTAACGCAAGTAACGCAATTGTTATTAATTTAGTAACTGTAACATGATTACAAGTATTTAATGCAATGCTTTATACTACTTTGTTACAAGAAAAATTTATCTCATTACTATAACTGTGTTACTTTGTAATGCGTTACCTAAACACCGATTGGGTAAACTGTGCCATCTAAGGGACCTACACCCCAAAACAAGGGTACATGTACTACCAACACACACAATTTCCAAAAATTTAAGCTTGCACCATGCTTTGAGTCTCTGTCTGTGCATTTTGAATTTCCTAAGCTTCCTATGCCAAAGCCATGACATTTCCTCCTCCTCATGTTTAACAGATGAATTGGAGCGCTTAGGATTTTTTGCAGTCCCTTTTTCCTTTCTTATCACTTTGAAAAAGATTAGTTTGTATCTCATCTGTCCATAAAACTTAGGTCTACTTCTGGCTACTTCTTTGTGAATTCCAGCCTGGCCCTTCTGTTCTTGGTGCAGAGGAGAGGTTTCCATCTTGTAGTGTAGCTTCTCTTGAAGTCTTCTACAACTGGCAGATACTGACACCCTTGCACTCTGTATGTTTTTTTGGAGTTTTTCGTCCCAGTAATACTCTGTTTTAAAATGTGTGCATGAAGCCCATTTAGCCAATGGAAAGTCATGGTGCTGCAACAGGGTCTGCACACGAAGTCTCCATGGTAAATACTGTCACCGTGCCATGTGTTTGCAATGTGAAGGCATATAAAATATGTAATAAAAGTGGGGTTTCACTTTCTAATTTTCTTCAAACCTTAGTGGGATTGATTTGGATATGTGGTCAACACACTGTAATTAGTATAATTTGATGAGTTGTATGTTTATTTCCGAAGATTTTAATCAGTTCGCTCAGTTAAAAATTTCCACTATAATTTAGTTATGTTAGTTAATGTGACTCAAATAGAAGGTAGTGTAATGACTGATACTCAGCTAGCTAGCCTGCTAAAGTCAGCTATTCACTGCAAAATAGGTATCTAGATAAATAAATCAAATGTAAAAGTAACTATATATATATATATATATATATATATATATATATATATATATATATATATATACAAAATCATCATTTATATGACACTTTTATAGGCTACTTTTTAACCCTTAAATTTCAGTTTGTGAATTCTTTTTGTGATTTTTTTTTTTTAAACTGACGTTGAAAAATTTATTTATTAATTTAATAAAACAAACTTGGTAGCACCTTATTGTATGGCATGGTTCACTGCAAGTACATAGTAGGTGCCAGGCATGTACAGTTGTACTTACTTAATTAGTAGAATTTAATGGTAATAGTACTTACAAGTAATACAAATGTTGTGCATACTTTGCAAGTTTATAACTTTTTTTAAATGTGTTGCAAGCATCAAATTTTAAAAGAGCATATAATAAAAAATACAATCAAGTATGTCAGTTTCAACATTTGATATGTTGTCTGTACTATTTTCCATCAAATATAGGGTTTAAATGATTTGCACATCATTGCATTTTGTTTTTATTTACGTCCCAACTTTTTTGGAAATGAGGTTGTACCTATGAAATATTAGTTATTTACCATACGGTATAATAAAGCGCTACCAAAAACTGTATTACATTCATGTTCGAAACACAGTTTTAGTCTATAGGCAGAGCCTTACTTTAGCCACACCCCTGCATTTTGGAGCAGGAAGCGACATTGCATCCCTGTCCTTCATGGCCACATGGTGGGCAGTTATGTCCCATTGTAAATGTCTCCCAAAGTCTAAAAAAATCTGTGTGTAACATTAAGAATTGTCACTACAAAATACATATTTTCTACCATTAAGTAAACTTTGTGTTTTAATGAAGGATATTATGATTTTATATGTGTACAACTGTTCAAAGCTGTGCTTGCTAGTCATGTACTGGCTAGCGTCTTTGAGTTATTCTTCATTTTCAAAGTAATCACTACTAAAACATTTGGTTTTGGTGGTGTTATGATTGTTTTGGTAGTGAAAAAATTTAATGTTTTTATTCAGTTATTTTATTAAAATAAACATTATATATATATATATATATATATATATATATATATATATATATATATATATATATATAGGGTCATTCAAAGCAAAAAGACTTTATTTCAAAGTCCAAGGCAGTCAAAAGACTGAAATGTCCAAAAGTCTTTGAATCAGTTTTGTAGAGTCATCCATAGATTTATATGATAAAAAGTCCATGAAATGACTGAGTATCTTATGCTTTATTTTATGATATAAGACTATCAGAGCACCTTCAGAGCTCCAGCATGTCCGTGTTTATTAAGAATATATTTTTGTATAATTAATTATGATATTAATTGAGAAGGTAATAATTTGTTTACATATTTGGACATTTGGATAGCAAAAATAATTTAAATGGCCATTCCTGCTGCTAAAACCTTGCTACTTACATTGGTGTTGAAAAATAACATTGTGATCTGTGTGTGTCCTCTTGAGAGTGCCCTTTTCTCATGTTGCTTTATTTCTTGCTTTTTCTCTCCTCTTTTCTTCATGGCTGACGCCAATTCAGCATGCTCAAAAAAATGTGGACCAATTAGAGCCAACATTGCCATACACACCACGCTGGCTACAGAAGATGGTAGGCCACCGACACATACCAATAGCTTGTTGGTGTCTGACAGTCTTCAGACAGCCTACTGTGCCTCTGGCCTAACATGTCAAATTAGTACACCACTGGTCTCTTTTGAACATACTATATAGTAAGTTGGTTTGAAGATTAAGATACAGCCTGTATCATGGCA